TTTTGGTTACATTTTATATCTTTGCCTCTAAGAACTCCATAATTCTAAGAAAACTATAATAGTTTTTGTAATATTTAAAATTGAATCCAATTTCATAGTTTTACAAGTTTTTGGAACAAAGGGACACTTGGCCTAGCACATTTAGTAAAACTCCTGGACTTATTATGTCCCAGATGATGAATAAAAATTTTGATACTCTTTGGGTTGTTTCCTAAGGGAATTTTAAAATTATTTTTTCATATTTTACTTTTCCCTACAGTAACATTAAATGGTGTGAATATCCTTTACTCAAAATGTTTTGTGTTTTTAAATTTAAAATAATTTACTGACTTTTCTCCCAAGGAAATTTAAGAAAACTTTGCTTATTGTAGAAAGAAAGAAAGAAAGAAAGAAAGAAAGAAAGAAAGAAAGAAAGAAAGAAAGAAAAAAGAGGGAAAGAGGGAGGGAAGAAAGGAAAGAAGAAAAAAGAGAGAGAAACACATGTGTATATTATTCTGTGCCTGTATTTGGTATAGTTTCATATTTCATGAGCTAACTTTCCAGATAGAACAAAACTCAGTATTTTTCATTATTGAGAAGAACTTTGAAGACTCATAGTTTGTATTTGAGTCCAATAAAGAATTTAGGAAAGACATTGTAACAGTGTGCCCCAACAACAGTTAATATAAAATAGTAACTAAAATATTATGTTTATGAAATTAATTTATGAAAGATAAGTTTATAAAATATAGCATCCTGGAAAATGCAAATTTAAATATCTTTGCCAGCAAGTAGAAAATGATGAGAAAAATGTACTGATTTTAAGACAAGCAGCTAATATTTATTTTTATGCATTGCTATTAAGGGCCTAGTGAGGCTTATATATCATCAGTGTTTCTTTTCTTTAACTTAAATATGTAGTATTTGTGCCAGATTCTCATGTAATGTGAAGGAAATGAATTTGCTTCCAGATTGCCAAACTCCCTTACTTTGGGATTTCTTCTACAAAATATAGAAAATGAACCACACTGGGCAGCCTTTTATCATCATTTACAGCATTCTCACCAGAGAGAATTAGATGTAAGTTCAAACAAAAGAAAGGAAATTGGGTGGTCTATCTATTTGTGACTACTAGCTTCCTCGGGAAGCCTTCATAATCCTTTTTTAGACTTGGTGCCCTTTCTGTGATCTCTGAGCACTGTTACCCCTCCTTTACAAATGTTTAACAGAGTTTGGTTTATGTTTTAGAATTATTTGATTTCTCTATTTTCTGCACCAACCATACTGTGAAGTGAATGTAGGTGAGGACCCATGTTTGTTTCTGCTCACCATTCCATCAATAGGGGCTAGCACAATGTCTGTGTTAGAGTAATAAATAAATATTTATCACATGAACAAATGAAAAATGAATGAATGTGAGATATTTAAGAAAAAAAGAGTCTATAAAACCTAGCAAAGATTATTTATGAAGAATTTAGAAATAACCTATTTCAGACCAGGAAAAAATGATATCAATTTTTCACAAACTTTTCCAGGTAAAAGAAAAAGCGAATGCATCTCAACTCATTTTATAAGGTCAAAAAATTCTTGATAACAAAACTTTATTAGGACTTTATGACAAATCTCTCCCATTATAATATATATAAAAACCCTAACAGAAATATTAGCAAGAAAAATCCAGTAATTAAAAAGATTAATGTCTCATAAAATTTATATATTAATTCATAATATAACTTTGGTTTAGCATTTGATTATCATTGCAATTTATTTAGTAAAATATATTAATGAAATAAATAGAATCATCTCAATAGATGAATAAAATGCATTTGATAAAATTCAAGAAGTTTACAATTTTAAAAGGTACCAAACTAAAAATAGAAGGGAAAATAATTGATGTGATAACAATTTATTGCAGAAAACCTAAATAATCCTTAATGGTGATTATTGATAACTTTCCCCCTGAAATTAGTAACTATAAAGAAGTGACTGCTAATACTAGCACTGTTTAGTATTGTACAAGAGGAGAGGCCTAACCTCTAAAATATGACAAGAAAAAGAAATAAAAATAGAGATCAAAAGAAAGAAAGAAAATTCTCATTTTGTACAATATTATAGTATAAGTAGAAATTTAAATCAATTCACAAACCACTAGAACTAATAAGTGGTTTTTAGTAAAGTCACTAGATATGAAGTAAATATATACAAGTATGTGTATTTTTACATTTTAGAAATAAATATTTATACCAAAAATATTGAATTTTAAAATACAATACAATTTTATCATGGTATCATATGTATCAAAATAGCTATAGCTATAACAGAAGATGAGTAAACTTACATTTTATAAGCCACAATATATTATTATAAGAAACTAAAGAGCATCTAAATAAATGAAAGAATATATCATGTCTTTATGGCTTATAAAGCTCAAAATTGTAAAATGACACTTGTGCCCTGATCAACCTATGTATTCAATAATCCCAGTTAAAACTTCAGAAGTTTATTTTGTGGAAATTGAGAAGTTGATTCTAACATCCATTTGGAAATGCCAAGAGTCAAAAAAAAAAAAAAAAGGAAAAAAGAAAAGAAAAAGCCAAGAAAAACTTTAAAAAGTAACAAAGTTATAAGAATTTTATTAATGAATATGAAAATGATAAAAAGCTATAATAATTAAGACAAGAAGTTATTGGCACAAGAGTAGACAAATAGATCAATGGAAAAGAATCCAGAGACCAAACATAGACCCACATCTCTGTGGATTGGATTTATGACAGTTCAGTGTGGGGAATTATTTTTCTCTTTTTCAAATAAAGGTGATACCTCAATCATGTATTTATATGGAACTAAATGTTACAACACCTTATTAAAAATTCAGTCCCAAATAGAATGTTCACCCAAAATTATAAGATAAAACAATAAAGCATCTGGATGGTAACTAATAAAAATCATTCATTACATTGCAGTAAACAAAGATTTTATAAACAGGATACCAAACATTAAGGTATCAAACATTCATTCATCAACCATGAATTAAGATATTTATCAACAGAACTTTATTAAACCTAAAAATTTCTGTTTGTGAGAAAGCATTATCAACAGAATGAAGTGCAAATAATAGCCTAGAAGAAGGTATTAACCATACACATATCCACTGAGTACTTATAAAGTCAAAAGTTGACAAGAAAAAGTCAACAGCATGATTTTTAAATAAAATGCTAAAAGACTTGAGAATGTACTTCATGAATGACAACATTCACATAGTCACTAATCATGTGGAATGTTCTTACATCATCAGCTATCAAGGAATTGCAAATTAAAACCACAATGGAAAACCACTACCCATAAGAATTATCATAGCAACATTATTTCTAATAGCTCAAAATTGAATGAATCCATTGTCTATAAACTAAAAATGGATGTATAAGTTTTGTCATAGTTACCATGTAACAATAACAATGAATGAACTGTTGCTACAGATGGGTGAATCTCATAAACAAAATGCTAAATTGAAAGAATTTGGCACAAAATAATATGTTCTGTATGATCTCATTTATAACAAACTCAAAAAGATGAAAACCCACTCATGGTAGAATCAGAATAGTGTTTACCTTTGAATAGAGTGGTAATGACAGGCAGAAGGTATGAAGGAAGCTTCTAGAATGCTAACAAGTTTCTATTATTTGATCTAGGTGGTGGCTACATGGGTGTATTCTTTTAAACAATTCATTGAGCTGTATATGTTTCAATTTATTCACTTTAGGTGAAGCCATCAACATTGAATCTCATCATTTAAATAACCAGAAAACAGCCAATTGCTAGGCACTGTCTTACAAATACTATTCTCTATTCAGATATCTAGCTGTCAAGAAACTTTCAGATTAAGCAGGAGAATAGACATGATAAACAGAATATTACCACGATATAGTAATGTGTGCTCCCATGGAGGTACAAAGAGACCACAAGGGAGTATGAGAAGAAAAATGTTCCTCTGCTTGGTGGCTGAGAAGATATCATTAAAGAATAAGAACTTTTCAGTCACACACAAGAGCATAATAGCATGAACTGAGTCTATGAATTTCATAGTTTTCAGCAAACTATACATTAATCAGCTCTACTTGAAAGGAAATATGTTCCTCCAAAGGACAATATTTGTACAAATTCAATGAATCTTATTTAGTTGTGGTGAAATAGTTTAGTTTATTATGGAGATTTTCAATGGGCATAAAATTTTTAAAATTTCCAGTAAATTCACTGTTTAATTACAATAAAATAAAGGAGGAAAATATACATGTAACATATATAATTAAAATTTTAGCTTTTTTTCTCTAATCTTTTTTCTCTAATACAAGGAAACTTATCATCAAATACTAGTTGATTCATGTTTTAATTATTCAACCACACAAATTAAATTCTCTAGATATTTACTTGTCTTAGAAATCAATACTCATTAAAACAATTATGTTCAGATTATCAGAATGTCATTATCAAATATACCTCTTCTTAATGTAAATGAGGCATGAGTCTTAGCAAACAAATGATTTGTAAACCCTTTTAACAAGTTTCATGATAGAGTAACCAATTTACACATACACACACACACATCCATCCACCCCCCATGATCATTTTCTTGATGAGATCATCATTCAAAGTTATCTTTCTTGCATTTATAAAAATGTTTAATTTAAACATGTAACCAAAAAGATTCTCTGAGCCTGCTTCAAAATAGTGGACAATAACAACACAAAGATAATTGCTGGACTTGAGGGAAAAGAAAAGAAAATCCAACTTCTTCCTCTATCCTCTTTGAACACATTTCCATTTGCAAAAAGTTGGGACTTATAAAAACAGAATCAAGACAATTATTTTGCTATTCAAATGTCAACATGGAAAATGCAAGAAAGTACAACATATTTTAGAAGAAGGCTAAATTCAAATGTTGAGTTCCTCTTGTTAAATTTGTTTGTGAAAGCCAAATCTACTTTAAAATTTCTAATAATATTTGGCAACATAAAAGATCTTACCTCAGAGTCCCAGGTGTCCCACTGAGTTCTATTGCATAAAATCTAGAAAACAAACCCATACTCAAATGCATTTTATACTTTAAAATAAATTGTATATTGTAAGTCAAAAGAATTCTCAGACAAATATAATCATGTGAATCAAATATTTTATAAAAGTAATAATAAATTGAAATAAAAATAGAGAAATACATATAACATTTTATAAAAGCAGTTCTTCTACTAGTAAAAAAAAAAAAGGAAGATAACAGAATTTTTTTTATTTTGGGTTTGACCACCTTGGGACTTTTCTGGCTTGATTACAACTTACTGTTTTCTTTCTCTCTTGATGTAAAACAATAGAGCAGGCAAAAGCATGTTATGTTAATCATAACAGAAGTTTGCTTGAGGACAGAAACATTGTGTTTCCTGTTTTATCATACATTAAGGTAGACAAACTGATCCTTACCCTATTCAATGTTGCTTTTAGCCATTGTTATTGATTTTTAAATAGTCAGTAGCTGTGTAAGAGAAATTTTCTGCAAGATCTTTTGTTTCCTTAAAAAGTGAAAAGGAAATAGGGAGAAGAGCATAGTGAAAAGGGATTTGATTTAACTTTGGACCAGGTGTGTGACCTTGGGGAAGTTAACTTTTCCCAGACTCAGTTTTAACAACAAAACTATAGTGATTTCACCTACCTTGTGAGAATACACAGCTATCGTACACACACACACAGACACACACACACCCCAGGCACAATGTAGACATTCAATAAATGGTAGCTATCATTTTACTATCCTTTTTTACTACATAAAATTCCCTTTCTGCACATGATGAATTTGTGGCTGAAATTAAAATACAAAGCATAAAACCACTGTTCACACATTTCTGATTACTAGTACCAAATCTTCAGTGAAGGTAACTGAAGAAGAATCATCAGCTCTTTGAACAATTTATTGTGTTTTCTACTTCTCCTTAGGACAGTAAAATATCTGCTACGATGAAATCTGGGGAAATGAGATTAATAAAATTTAGAAAGTGAAGTACCTACAGATAAAGAATGAGATATGAGAACCATCCCACTATTCCCATGAAAAGCTATGGGAACAATGCAATGAAAAATTGAAATAAACAACTCAAACTGATTTTTCCTTGGTTGCTGTCCAAATAGAATGCACATTTCACAGGGCCCATATAAATAGAGGCAAGTTGCTTTATTATTCTGCTCCAGTCCTGTCATCAACTCTTAGCTTACAGTTATAGGACTGGAATACAAAGCTAGATAAAAAAAAAATAGATTTGTGCCTATAAAAAGACAGAAGAAAAATAAGGTGGTGCAGAAATTATTTGAAAACGTTTGAAAACAAGTGTATGTGCATGTGTGTGTGTGTATGTGTATGTGTGTTGTAAACAGGGATGTAGGGAGGATAATGAGAAAAATAATGCATCTACACTGTTTCTTGGTCAGTTTGTTTCTTTTTCATCTCTGATCCCATGCTTTGGTTAATTACTTTATTCTATATTTATTACACTGCATAATACTTTTAATGTATATGTTTCTTCACCAGTCTATGAGCTTCTTGGGGACAGAACTTACATCTTATTTATCTTTGTCTACGCAGTGATAAGAACATAGAGAACATTCAGTTAACGAATCTGGAGAGAATTAAAACTGTGATTTGATTAAAATACTTTACAACTGCCACAATGGATATGCATGCAGTCGTGTTTATGCCTGTACGTTGGGACATAAGAGGTGAATCTTATTCCATCCATTTGAAATTCTCAGGCTTGTTGGAGATGAAAATATATCTGTTCTCTCTGTGTTTGTGTGTATGGGTATATGAGTGAATATGTGTGTAAACCAAAGAAATGAAGGAAAAGATGAGGGAGTTAATTTGAAAATGATCAGTTACTAGTAATATTTTAGAACTGTGATGAAAGAAGTTTTATCTTTTAATGACTTAAAGACTCAGACTCATCATAACAAAGGCATGTTTATCATCACATGACCATATAAACCCACGTGAAATATTAACACTTCCTGCCTCATCATAGAGTAGTAAAGAATTACTGTTTATGTTACAGTGCAAAACAATCTGCATTTTGTTTATTAATATTCTGTTGAAAACAATTTTACTTGAAAAGCTAGTGTATCAAAAGTTTAGCAATGATATTGATGTGTATCAGAAAAATAAATATAATTATTCTAATGTTTCTGGAGTGTTCATTTTCCTTATTAATGTTAGTATTTTGCCTTTAATTTTATAAACACATAATATAATTTTGTTTTCTTTTCAGCTACCTTTCATTGCAAATGAAATATTTTAGGAAACATGCTCATTGCTACTCTTTCTACTTAAAATACTTCTGGGGCCATTTACATTTTTCAAAATGCAGGTACTCCTATTGATATTTTTTATAGCTTCTATAATATGATATTCACCATATCATTTATTGCAGTCTTTAAAATTTTTTAGAGAATCAAAAGAAATGTTTAAATACAAAAAAATTATAATATTTTAATCTTTAATTTTCCTCTTAAAATAATATGATTATACATAATACACTTTAGGTTATGTCTGAATAGTATTGGCCTTTGCATGAAGAATTAACCCATATTTCTGGTACAAAGTCCTACGATAATGCTTCTATGAAAGGAAAAGTATTAATTACCCAAGTGCCTTCAGATTGTCTCTTGACAAAACCAGTTTATTTCAATTTAAGTGGCTTATTTATTGAGACAAATGCTCTAAATTGAACAAATATTTTTGGCTAACAGTGCCCAAAGTCTGTTACTAAGAGAAAAGCCTAGAAAAAAGTGATTAATTGGTAAACAATAATTTGCACAGCTTGAAAAAAATTCCACCCTTCAAAAAAAGCATTGAAAAAATGTTTTTCACCGCTTTCCTAGAAATTTAAATAAAGTAAATACTCACTTTGTTTTTTAAAAGGAAAGCATGAATTTTGCTGCTTCAAGGAGCTTAAGGGAAACCCCTTTATATTTCTCATTGTATAAAAGATTATTTTTTCCTCCTTTTTTCCCTACTAATGAAAGGCACCACCATCTTTTCAGTTTGCATAAGCCAGCAATTTTGACTTCTCTTACTAAATATTCTTCATAATCTTCTATATCCAATCATTACCAAATCCTGTTCATTTTAACATTAAAAAGCTTTTATTTACATTCACTTTTCTCCATCTTACCCACCTTAGTCCAAATACTATCATATACTACCAAATACTACTCCTAGAGTACTGAAATAGATTTCCAGCCTCTCTCCCTCTCAATATTGTTCTCCACTCCACAACCAGAGAGATATTTTTATGTTTTTAATTTGATTATTGCACCTTTGCTGAAACCAGGGCAATTACTTTTCCATTATTCTTAGGCTTACATCCAAACTCCTTATCACAACTACACCAGTCTTCCCTCCTGGCCTTCCCTCTTCTAGCTTCCCCTCTCCTGGCCTCCCATTCCCTCCCCTCTTCTCTCTAACTTCCCCCTCCTCCATCCTCCCCTCCCATCCTCTTTCTTGGCTTTACATTTCCTGCCCTCCCCTCCTCCTCCCCTTTTCTCTTCCTCTCCAAGCTTCCTCTGCCTGGATTACCTGGATATCCCACTCCTCGTTCTAGCAGAGTTTGAATCTAGCAGAGCTTGAACCAAAATAATTCAACTTCCTTAGGGGGTCAGTCCTCTATTCCTATATGTTAATTCTTCAGAAGACTATTGCTTCCATGAAAACTATAGAAGCATCAACTTAAACTAAAATATGTGTGCTCACATTTTAAAAATAGAAAATGCTCGATATATTCATTAGGGTTTTGATCTCTCTTTCTGCCTTTTTGTATTTTGCCTTATCTTGATTTATTCAAAAACATCAACTTGTGAGCTAAAATAAAATCTTAAGCTTCCCATCTGACTGAAGAGACCCCCTTTTGGCCAAGGGCACCCCAGAAATATCCTAAAGCTGAATGGCTGGCCATGCAAAGGGAAGTCAGACATGTCTTTCCATACCCTCTTTCCCCTTTTGGAGTTATTATTATTTTTTTTTTGTAACAGTGAGATACAAAATCATGAACAAGCTGAAGGCCATGTAAGACAAAGGTTAAACAGCACCTGCAGGTCATCAATTCACTTAACAGATCTCTTGAGGCTGGGTGTATGTCCAGTGGCTTATCTATAATTAGCAGACTTCCTTATCTTCACTTAAAATATTCTAGGCCTTCAGACAAAGCTTTATGTCTTTAATCAATTACAAATCAAAGAATCTTTAAATCCACCTATAACCTATCATCCCTTACTTTGAGATGTCCTGCCTTTTCAGCCCAAACCAATATAAGCCTTCCATGTATTGATTTATGACTTTAGGTGTAATTTCTATCTCCCTAAAATGTATAAAATCAAACTGTAACCAAACCAGGGCAAGACCACTTGTTAAAGAATTCTTGGGCATGGCTCTCTGGGCCATAATCACACATATTCAGCTCAGAATAAACCCCTTTAAATTATTTTACAGAGTTTAGGTTAGTTTCCATTGACAAACCTACTGAGTTCTCACTGTCTGAAAGACATAACTTCTGTTACAGAGGCCTTTAATGCTAATCTACAGAGAGACAATTCAAATTCACTATTATGTTTTCTTAAAATGCTTTTCTATTACTTGAACTGAACCATGACATGAAAGTTGTTTCCTATGGCTTTATAGTGACCAAAATCCAGTAATCACATATAACCACAGTTTCTAAATGATTACAATGGCCAAGGACTTAAAAGTTAACTTTTCTCTGAAGGAGATGAGAATTAAATTTTGTCACAAAAAACATTTCAAAAAATTTAACACCTTTCATAAAGTAGAATTTTCAAAACAGAATCTCACTAAAAATCACTATCCTAAAAAACTCAGCCCTGTGGGGGAAGAAAATCACTAAATTTGCATGTAACAGAAGAGAGTCAACTTCATTCAGAAATTATTCAAAAGTGATGCAGAGTAAGATACGCTAATAATAGAGATTTTATTTTCTAGATTATTCAGGCAGATTGGAGGAACTTTTTCCTGAATTTT